CATTTACAGATTTCATACCCTTTCTTCATTTCGTTGTGTTCTTTCCAAGTTGACATTTTTTTTTGCTTGTCTTGTTAGTTCATGATACATAAATTATAGAGAATATAAAACGATAGAAAGTTTTTAATTCTTCAGAGGTGTTTCGCCCAACACGACTGATAATTTTGTTCGGATAAATATTGATATTAAGGCGTTAAAAATGAATAAAATATCAGAGTGATAAGACTATAAATTTATATTATATATAAAACTGAATATGTACCAAAATGTTTAAATTGTAGAAATTTCCATTAAGGGACCAGTTGCGATATTTAAAAGATGTTGATCTTGTCCAAAGATTCTGCGCGCAAAATTTGTCCTCTTACAGTACTCCTTCGGACCAAACAACGGTTGGTTCTAGTAGGGTTATTCACTTTTTGAGCTCAATATCACGGCCGAAAGACGCGGAATAAATCACTTCTCCTCATTATCCGGTCGCCCTTCAGGCCATGAGAGATTGCCACCGCCTTTAGACGAAGTCGACGGGTCGGCGAACTCCACGTAATAAAGAAGCCGTATTGATTCCACCCTGCCTTCCGTTCCACTCCAAACCGCCTTGCTTCTCTCCACACCCCTCCACGCCCCTCCACGCCCCTCCACGCCCCTCCACGCCCCTCCACACCCCTCCACGCCGCCGGGTGGAATGACGCCGACCAAAAGAACACTAGAGCGCGCCCCGCTTTCAACCTCCTTCCCCCCTCCTCCTCTTCTTCTTTTTTTTTAAACGGCCCTCTGAAATGTGATGGAACATTAATTTCCAGGAATGTTTGCTTCTGACGGGCCTGCAAGGAGTTGGGAGGAGGAGAGCATACTTACGATTCATGCAGTGATTACACCAGGCCCCCAAAACGCCCGGCGCCATGACAGTTCAGCAAGCGGACATTAATTATACTCAAACAATGCTTTATATTTATTCGAGTCTACTGTTTATGTTACGGGTACGAAATAAAATATACATATTTGCAGAGTGTTAATCCAATAACGGGCGAAGAATATTTTTGTTTCGCTGAAACAGAACGGTCGTTTTGTTTCGAAGGCAAAGGTTTAGGTTTGTTTGCATGTTCCTTTGCATAAATCAGGATGTATGTAGTACGTTTGGATGAAATTCCTGTAGTACAGGTGATCGTGGAAATTTTACGCCATTCCCACGTTGTTTAGGAAATACATAGAGATTTAAAACGTTACCTCATGATGTGGTTTTGGTCATATGTTCAATTTCATGTGTTTAAAAAGAAACATAAATTTAGGAAACATTATAAAGAAACGTACGTTTATGTAAATTGTGTAAGATGAATTATGTGTAAGGGCATAGATTAATTTTTCAAAGTCATTAAATGGTGACTGACATATACCAAAAATCATACTCTAAGCATTTAAAAAAAGAATTAAACCTGATGTTTAAAGATATTATTGTGGTACATGTTCCTGAAATAAAATGTATTTTTAATCGATTTTTTATTATTTTTAATATTATTGTAATACCTCACTATTCAATGCCTTAATTCATCGAACAATACTGGCGTTTTTCTGCCCTTCAATCCTGTTGTTTTAGAGTAAAGATACTAATTTCTTTGAAAAAAGTTAAATAAGATATTTTCTAAAATGGTTTCATGTATTAAGTGTAAAAAAAACGTAAAACGTAAAACCCCGTAATTTCCATTGTACTCGCTGCGCAGATAACATGTCCAATATTTGTCAAATGTTAATTTACCACAATTTAACCCTTCACCCACTCTCCGACATCTATAAACATGCCAACAGACACGCAGCAGCCCCCTGAAATCCTGACACACGTTCCCCATGACCCACAACTATTAATTACGACCATTAATTAAATAAGTTAATATATGCGCGACGTGCAGGACGACGTAGCACCTCGTTAGGAGCAAAATTATTCTCTTTCCGCGTCACTGCGTCGCCTCTTTTCGGTCCCTCAGCCCTCGCGTCGTGGTCGCTTATCGCTTGCTGCCGCCGCCGCAGCCCCGCCCCCGGGGGAAATACGGGCGACTGTGCGCGCCGGGCGGAAGACGCGCGAACTAATCTGCGCGTTCGCGGCCCCCGTGGACGTTGGACGGCGTTGCCACGTCGCGCGTCGCTTTGTTGGCGGACAGTGGTTGGCGAATTAGGAAGGGAGGGTCGTGCATGTGTGTCGGAAGAATTGCTTACGTTTTTTGGTGTCTTTGGGTTGTTTATTGAACGAGGGCGGCTTTGGCGTGTGGTGTATGGCCAATTTGCAAACAACGCTATCGAAATTAGCTTGTTTATGTTTTGTTATTTAAGGTCACATTACCATATAGGTTATTAGCGGCCATTATTGTATTTAACGATATGGTAGATGACATGAAATGGTGATGATAGGGGATGAAAGACGAACATAAATTCAACCAGGGACTTGAAACCGCGATCCTTCGATCCGAGATTGCTACGACACTTTCGCCTTAACGGTTTCGGCAATCCGAACTGACTGATAGGCATTCTTGTCTAAGGCAACTTACACATGGATAACAAAGTTCATTTGTATCCACAAAATTGAGAAGCATTAGAAATATGTACGCCAAAGAAAACAGTAATTTACGCATTTAGATAAAAACGTCGATTTGTATGAAATTATATAGTTACTTGGTGGAAGAAGGGTTTACGTCAATTTTTAGTGATTTTAGGTTTGTGTCGTCGACGTGGGCTTTTAAAGACCCTTCTTTCAGTTCGTCGATCATATCTCCTGATTTCACTATCTACCTTTACAATGGCCAACGATTGTTTAATAAATGGTGTAAGGATGGTAAGATGGTGTAAGAAAAATACCCATTGTATAAAACTTTACCGACATTAGCACTTCTTGCGCCGTGCCACAGAATTAATAGATTTATGAATGTTAGCGCGCCCAACAGTGCTTTGCACAATTATGCTCTCACGGGCACTCTCTCTTTTTAACCCTACTAGAAAAACACTGGACCCAGCAAACTCCAGTACCCCTCACATACACACACACTTACAAGCAGGCAAATGTCGGAGCGATTCCCTGAGAAATGTACCACGGACCGCACGTCCTTTTCTTTCTTCTTCTTTTCGTTGTCCTCGCCTCGTCCGTTACACACTCCACACACAATTAGAGAGAGGTCTAAAAAGGAACCGATTTGACAGCTACTTCTAGCAATATAACTGCTAGTTACGACCACGTGCTCAATTCGTAAATGCGTTCATTTACAGTTGGTTCATTTGTGAATGCTTAGATTGTCCTCTTGCAATGTTATGCACCTAAGGCAGATACAATATGACTTTCATTTGTTTTCCGTCCTTTCAAACTGGTCCCTTAGACTATCTTCGCTACAAGAAGACATAGGACGTGGTTGGAGAAGAAAGGGTTGTGCGCGGTGGCCCATTGTTTAAGATTCGCATTCACATTCGTCTGGAATTCATCAGAGGAAACCACGCAAAGAAAAGCCGATCCGTTAATGTCCGTTAGATGTGCCGTCAACGGGTTTGTACGTAGATGCAAATGCGTGGCTGTGGGGTTTACGAGCATCCACCGAAATGAGCTTCAAGCAGGATTCCTCGAAGGTTTACGAAGAACTTCCGAGTAGCTGATTTTGTTACACTCTTTCTGCAGCAGAGGGAGATAAGACACGAAATTCAACTCAGTAGCCGTGTTTGCTCCCAGTGTTTGCCACTGTATCACGTGACTTTCAGGGAAACTCAGCTTTGTCGGTCACAGTAATAGCCATTCGTTATCACCGTCCGCAATCTCCGTCGGCTTGCTACCTACTTAGACGTATATTTCGGTGTAAATTACAGTATCTAGCCATAGCAAGGACAGTTGTTCACAAATATTAATGGACCTTCGAGGAAGTGGGGGAAGTTGAAAAAAGAATCGAACATGTATCATTGTTTAATATACTGCTCCGGCATCCGTCTGTAATTATCGAGAAAAAAACACCCTAAGGAAGAACCGATTAGAGCCGCTTTGTGATTGTGTAGGGCCGACATGTGATTGTATATACGAGTGTGACCTTGGAGTTCTCTTAGAGAATCCACCAGCATGGACTCAAATTAGGTCTACGCAGAACCTCCGAGTATCCGTTTTCGTTTCACTCGTCCTACAACAGCGTGACTTAATAGACGCAAAATTCATCCTAATAGTAATCGAAAGGTAGAGATGCACTTTCGTCGCCTCCTAGTGCCTGCCACTGCATCGCGTGTCATTCAGGGAACCTCAAGCTCCGTCGGCCACAGTGATTACTATTCGCTATCACCACTTACAATGTCCATCGTGTTGATGTCCTACTTATAGATAGATTTTCGTGTAAACTACAGTATATAGAATTGAAATGCGAGATTAGATTCAAATGCGTGACCTCGGTCTCGAGAATCCACCTGTATGGACTCGAAGTAGGTCTACAGAACACCTCCGAGTATCCGATTTCGTTTCACTCGTCCTACAACAGCGGGACTTAACAGACGCGGAATTCAACCCAATAGTCATCGAAGGGCGAGACTGCGGTTGCGTCGCGTCCCAGCTTTCGCCACGGCGTCGTGTGACTTTCGGTGAACCTCATCCGCAGCGATTGCCGTCCTCTATCACGGGCCGCAATCTCCCGCCGCGATGGTCCACTCCCGCGGGCCGCCCGCGATCGGAATTTCAATGAGGCCCTTTGCCGCGACCGCCTTAGGACGATTTCACCCAAAGGGCTCGCCCTGCCGTTGCCGGAACGAAGTCGCAGGAACGACTTTGGAGAACGGAAAGGAAGGAAAGGGAGTTTTGAAGTGTTCGATTGGATCAGCACAGTGTATGAGTGTTGGACGATTATGTGACGGTTTGATGAGTAAGTTGACAGCGGGGTTTGAAGACTTCGTATGGTGGTAAGAAAAGATAGAATACTGAAGAACGTATTATGTTTGCCTTTTCTTGCGGGTTGTCGGTATGACATTGAATATGATAATCAGAAATATTCAGGTTTTTTTAGAAGGAAGATGGAAGATAAAGTTAGAAGTAGTTGTTGAAGATGTCGTAGTGATCATGTGTAGTCGAGCTTTATCATGATTTAAAGAAGGAAGCGATCATTGGAGTGTGGATCAAAGATAATGAGAAGATAGGTTAGGACAATTTACCCAAAGCAATAGCCCTGCCGTTGGCAGAGAAGTCACAGGAACGACTTCGGAAAGCGGAGAGGAAAAAAAAGGAAGTTCTGAAGTGTTCGATTGGATCAGAACAGTGTTCGAGTGTTGAACAATTATGTGACGGTGTGATAAGCTGACAGCGGGTTTTGAAGACATGGTGGGAATGAAGAAAGAAAATATAGATTACAGGGGGACGTATTAGAATGGTTGGCTGGCTGGTTGTCGGTATGACTTTGAGTGTGAACGAAATAGCCACGTCTTTGAGAAGGAAGATAGAAGACAAAAACAGAAGTAGAAGTTCAAGATGACGAAGTGAACATGTGTAGAAATGATTTATCATGACTTAAAGAATGAAGTGATCATTGTCGTATGCTTCCAAGATGAGAAGGTGGATAAGAAGAATGAGCAAATGAAGTAATATAGAAAAATATGGAAGCATACAGTAAAACATTTTCGTACAACATTTGACACGCTTTTACGATTGATGTCACAAGCGATGAACTGTTGATGAAAAAGACAAGATACGATAAGAATTGGCGTTAATATTAAGGTCTAATTGTCACGACGGGCCAATAAAATGGATAGTGTGATATCTTAGATTATGGTAATTTATATACAAACGCCAATTCAGTCATTTCGTTATTTTAATTCGGTTTATTTCTACAAAATGTTGCCTACAATATATAAATGTTATGGCAAAAAAATTATACCGTCGACTCTGTCTGTAGACTGGGTCACCAACTGTTTGAACAATCTTGTTGCATCAACTGATTGCTTCAACTGATTGCATCAACTGATTGCATCAACTGATTGCGTCAACTGGTCGCGTCGTCTGGTCGCGTCGTCTGGTCGCGTCGACTGGTCGCGTCGTCTGGTCGCGTCGACTGGTCGCGTCGACTGGTCGCGTCGTCTGGTCGCGTCGTCTGGTCGCGTCGACTGGTCGCGTCGACTGGTCGCGTCGACTGGTCGCGTCGACTGGTCGCGTCGTCTGGTCGCGTCGTCTGGTCGCGTCGTCTGGTCGCGTCGTCTGGTCGCGTCGTCTGGTCGCGTTGACTGGTCGCGTCGCCTGGTCGCGTCGTCTGGTCGCTTCGCCTGGTCGCCTCGCCTGGTCGCCTCGCCTGGTCGCATCGTCTGGTCGCCTCCTCTGCTCAAGAGGACTAGTCGGCGACCGGTCGCGTGGTCGGGTCATGCTGACTGCTCTTCCGCCTTCTCATACTTCATCTGGTCTCGTTGATCAAGCACGTGCTCCAGTCCTACCTTCCTCCCGTCCACAATCCCAGCTCCACGCGGTTATCCCTAATGCCCAACAAGACGCGGACGAAAACCTCCGGAGGGCTTAGGGCGTGCTTGGGCACAAGCGGCTTAGGGCGCGAGCTTCTCTCCCTGCCCACGTGCGGCGCTGCCGTATTAATATATATTACCCTGTTAATGTGTAATGGCGGAGGGCCGGCCGTGGCCTCAGAATAGGCTTCCTTCGGCTGCAGGGGGATCATCTTCGTGGAGCCGCTAGGGGAAGAAAGTTTTGCCCGCAAAGCGACGTACAGGGGCTGTGGGACATTTGTTAAGATTAAGAGTAAGGTTTTTGTTTTTGTAGGATCGCGTTTTAAACAAAAGTGTGCTGTTTAGCTGCAGTTAATGTTTCTACTGAGAATACTGTCTTCCTCGTCTACTTGTAGGCAGCTTTTTGTTTTAAGTATGTTTAAAGATTTCAGGACCTAAAATAGAGTGCACATCAATCTGCTTTTATCTTGTGTTGTAACGCTAAAGATTTCTTAATTTACTACTTTGCTTTCTCTTTTCTTACCTTCGTTGGAGTGGGCCTGTGCAGTCACAGACAGATATATTTTGATCACCATGTTATTGTTATCTCAAAATGTTTATCTTTAACTTAAAAATCTTTTATCTTAAACATTATCGTAGGCAAATGGTTCTACACTAAAATTTTTATAATGTAAATAGTCATTTCTTCTATTTTGAGCTGTTTTAAAACACATTAGTGGTTATTTCACAATTCTCTGTCTTTACCTCCACCATTTCTTGAATAAGAATTCCCTTCTTACTTCTAGTCTCCTTTGCCTTCTTTATTCCCATCCTTTGTTCCTTTCCCCTTTTCTATTCTTTTAATCTTCTTGCCGTTCTTCTCCCACCTTTTCTCATTTTTTTCCGTCTTGCTCTTTTTCTTCTTGAATTCCTGCTTGTTATTTGTTATCATTATTATTTTCTTTTTTAATTCTAGTATTTTAGAAAAATCATTCATTAAATAGTCTTTGCAAATTACAGCGCAATTCAAAGGATAGATGGATATGGACTACGAAGCTGAATTTCATTTTTATATTATTTTCGGTGCCCTTCAGGGTTCTATTCTGGGACCTACTTCGTTCCATTTGTTTCAGAAGAAATATTAAATAATATTTTTTCCTTCAATTGTGGTGTTAAGAAACAGGTGTTGAATTTAAACTTTACTCTGATATCCATACCCAAATGGCGTGTTTCCTATATGCGTTTAAATGTTAAGCAACACAGTCGAAGCAACAGGTTGTTATAGTGTATGTAAATCTTTGTACTTTTTTTTTTAATTTTCGGTGTACCACAGGGTTCTATTCCAGGACTCGATTCGTTACGTCTTTTCGAAGGAAGTATTAAATAGACTTGGTGGTGTGTGTGTGTGTGTGTGCGCAGGCACTGAGCGGCACGCCCGAGCTGCCGATGTACTTCGAGATATACAAGGCGGACATGGTGTTCGTAATTCTTCTCCATTGGTCTTTTCCTTTCTCTTCAGTGTACGCCGGGGTTCCATTCTGCTCCCAGTTAGTTCCATTTTTTTGGGAATGAGTGTTAAATAAGTCAAGTCCTTCCATAATTGGCGTAAGATGACGTGTTTCGTGAATATATGTGTAAGACTGTTGTGTGTGTGTGTGTGTGTGTGTGTGTGTGTGTGCAGATGTTACAAGTCGTAGTTAAGCGACAGGTGGTTATGATGTGGGTAATTCTATTCGTCATTTTTTTATTCTTTCAGTTTAATTCTGGGTTTCACCCTGACTTCCGATTCGTCCCGTGTGTTTGAAAAAAAAGTATTAAATAAGCCTAGCGAAGATGGCGTGTATTGTGTGTGTGTGTGTGTGTGTGTGTGTGTTGTGCGCGCTCTCAGATGTTATGCGTCGCAGTCCGAGCAACAGATGGTTATAGTGTGAGGAATTCTATAATTATATTCTTCGGTGTACCACAGGGTTCCATTCCAGGGCCCGATTCGTGGAAGGAAGTATTAAATAGACGTGGTGGTGTGTGTGTGCGCAGGCACTGAGCGGCACGCCCGAGCTGCCGGTGTACTTCGAGATATACAAGGCGAACATGGTGTTCGTAATTCTTCTCCATTGGTCTTTTCCTTTCTCTTCAGTGTACGCCGAGGTTCCATTCTGCTCCCAGTTAGTTCCATTTTTTGGGGAATGAGTGTTAAATAAGTCAAGTCCTTCCATAATTGGCGTAAGATGACGTGTTTCGTGAATATATGTGTAAGACTGTTGTGTGTGTGTGTGTGTGTGTGCAGATGTTACAAGTCGTAGTTAAGCGACAGGTGGTTATGATGTGGATAATTCTATTCGTCATTTTTTTATACTTTCAGTTTAATTCTGGGTTTCACCCTGGCATCCGATTCGTCCCGTTTGTTTGAAAAAAAGTATTAAATAAGCCTAGCTAAGATGGCGTGTTTCGTGTGTGTGTATTGTGTGTGTACGCGCTGGCGCAGATTTTGAGAAGCGTAGTCCGAGCAACAGATGGTTATAGTGTGAGGAATTCTATAATTATATCCTTCGGTGTATCACAGGGTTCCATTCCAGGGCCCGATTCGTTCCGTCTTTGTGGAAGGATGTGCTAAATAGAGTTGGTGGTGTGTGTGTGCGCAGGCGCTGAGCGGCACGCCCGAGCTGCCGGCGGCGCACTTCGAGCCGCAGGTGGCGATGGTGTGCGGGGGCGGCAGCGGCGGCGCGGGCGGCGCGGGCGAGATGGCGCGCCCCCAGTACCACGCGCAGTACATGGCCGAGTCTGGCCGCTGGGTGTCGGACCTCGCCACCAAGGCCGGCTGCCTCAAGGACAAGCTCGACATCCTGGAATACTGCAAGAAGGTAAGGACTGGCGCGAGACATTTCGCGCAAGTGATATTTGTTTGAGGTCCCTTTTTAGTAGCTCGACCACATAGCGACCACTGTGGTTGTTTCAACTGTAGGAACAAGTATACACTGGCATCTATGCCCGAGGCCAGATTTGAATCCGCAGCCTTAGCAACCTCGACTATCAGGGCTGGCAGTGTTAATTTTTGTTTTTTGTTTAACGTAAAAATAGCAAAAATATTGTGCGTTACGTAAGTTGGCGAAATACAAACTGCGCAGCTATTTTAAAGCTCTAGAATTCCCGCCCTCACTCTTTGACGATATACTAAGAACAATTATTAATAAAGATAGCAGCAAGCGCTTTTGGCAACAATTCAAAACAAATATTGGCTCCTGTGCAATAAAAAGTACTTGCATCGACTGTTGAGCTGCAGTTGTTTGCTAGACGATATCAATATTCCCCTCTAACACATCACAGAGCTCAACAAGAAGTGCGCAGATAGTAAATCTGCATTTGTGTTTACACGTAAAAACAAGGGACTATCAACATTTTCTCATAGGATTAAAGGAAACTTGATAAAAGTTACAAATGGGATTGTGTTGTGTGATGCAATATTGAAAGAGGGGAAAAAAGACGGAATCTCCCCCCCCCCTCTCCAGTAATCAGAATGTTAATTAGTATCTGTACTAAATACAATAGCTCAAATTTCGTCACATTATTTGTTATGATTGGCAACTGATTTCCTACGCAAAAACGTATTACTCTTTAATGCAAAATAGATGAAAAAGCCCACGTGAAGTCAAAAATGTATATATTAATAGGTTTTATCACTTATAATGTTTTGACCATATGATAGCTTGTAAAATCCCGCATTAGCCGTGTCAAAATGGAAATGCTCTAATGTAATGTTTGCATGGAAACTCGCCAAACTTTCTCAAATAATAATAATTATGATAGGTTTCGTGGAATGATGTGTTTTCATGGAATGATGGACACCCTATTCAAATATCTCGGCGAGTAACGTTTAGTAGTGCAGATTGTGAAATCTCCAGACCATCTACTGAGGCAGTGTAGAGCGCATTCCATAGCTCGAATGAGGTGGAGAGAGGGTAATGTTTTAAATTTGGTCTGTATGAGCCACAGTCTGTCGCTAAGAGAGGGCCAAAACATGTCAGATTAAATGACTACAAGACTATATGATTTTTGTCGCAACAAGTAATCCGCATAGGAAAATAACGAATGATTCAAACAGTAATGAAATAATGAACGAAGAATTAATGTGCTCTTTATAGGAAAACGGTTGATGATTAAAACCAAACAAACGACTGAACCTTTAAAAGAAATGAAAATTGATGTGAGAATACATTTGCCATTCATAAGTTCTATAGTAATAAATACCTGGATGACTTTATTTTCATTTGCATTCTTTACAAAATAACTTTCAGTAATATCGTCTATTCCCTAAAAATATAAATCCTTATACTCTAGAAAGATAAGTTATTGAATACATAATAATATTGAAATCTCACTTAACAGACTGCACGGTAAAGATGACAACTTGTCAACATTATAAATTCACTATTTGTTCTTCATAAATTCAAAACAAATACCCTAGTCCTTTTTTTAATGGTCCTTTTTAACTTGTCTCTCGCTAACGTCACGTAGAGCATAAGCTCACACATTTACATAATGAAGTCCTGGAGGCGTACCTGATCCCTTAGTTTACTCGAAAACTCCGCGACAAAAAAACCAAACTCTCTTTTCTTCTAGGCGTAGATAAAACATTTTCACTTTCATTCGTCCACCACTCCACGTTGGCTTAGCCACTCCATTTGTACGTTCCCTTAGCCGCCATCTCTCTTCTTTTTGTCTTCCTTTTTTCCTCTCTTTTTCCCCTCCCTCCCTCTCTCTTTTAAAAGCGGTTAAGCGAGTAAAGCGCCTGCCTTTTTCCGTTGCACTCACGCCACTTTCCCAGATTACTCGGACCGGAAGCAGCAGGCACGGCGGG